AACACACAAAGGCCAGCAGATGACAGAAAAAGTTTAGAAACTCAGAAATGAATAAAATACATCTATGGTATTATATAATATCAATCCAGATTTTATAATAAGGTGTACAGTTAAACACCCTGTGAAAGGAAAAGAAAATATTCAAACTTCTGTAGTATGAAGGGAGGGCCAAAAATTTTTATGCTGATTTTCCAGATCATTGGGATACTGAATCTCTAACCCCCATGATATGGAAGGGATAACTGTAATACATACATACAATATAATAGTAATACATATGTGAGGTGTGTTATTTAGTCTACAGAAGATATCCTTGCTTACTTATGGATTTGCATATGAACATCTTTGGGACAGCTAGATAGTGCAGTGAATAGAGTGCTGGGCCTAGAGTCAAGAAGACTCATCTTCCTGAGTTCAAATCTGCACTCAGACACTTATTAGCTGCATGATCCTGGGCAAGTCACTTAACTCTGTTTGACTCAGTTTCCTCATCTGTAAAATGAGCTGGAGAAGGAGATGGCAAACCACTCCAGTATCTTTGCTAAAAAAAAAAAACCCAAATGGGGTCATGTAGAGTTGGGCATTACTGAGCAATAACAACAAATATACTCCCCTTGCAATAATTTTGTAACAAGACTTTTAGGGGTTGGGGCGCTAGATGGTGCAGTAGATAGAGCTCCGGCCTTGAAGTCAGGAGGATCTGAGTTCAAATCTGGCCTCAGACACTTGACACTAGCTGTGTCACTTAACCCCAATTGCCTCACCAAAAAAAAAAATATTTCTAGGGGCATATCTCCCACAGTTTGGAAACCACTGAGGAATGTCACTTAATATCCTTAGACTTCATCTCATGAAGAGGCTGGACAAGATGACCTTCAATGTCCTTCCAGCTCTAAATCTGGTTACAAGTTATTGGCTTAATATCTCTGGGATTCACTTTCCTTATCTGTAAAATGAGAGCATCAGGCTAAATGATCTTTTAAGTTCCCCTTCAGGGTGCCTTTCTGAAGATAAAGCTTTTTGAAATGCCTGCTTAGAGCCGTCTCTTCTTGCATTATGCATTCAACAAATATATGTTGAGTATCTACCCTGTGCAAGACAGTCAGTGAATAAGCATTTATTAAGCTCCTGCTATGTACCAGGGACTGTGCTGCACCCAGGATACAAAGAAAGACAAAAGACAGTCCCTGCTCTCAAGGAGCTCGCTATCTAATGGGAGAGACAACATGCAAATGACCACGTGTGAATAAGCTATATACAGGATAAATTGGAGATGATCAACAGAGGAAAGGGGAATTAGGAAAGGCTTCCTATAGAAAGTTAGCTAGGGTGCAGCGAGGTGGTGCAGTGGATAGAGCACCGGCCCTGGAGTCAAGAGGACCTGAGTTCAAATCCAGCCTCAGACACTTGACACTTACTAGCTGTGTGACTCTGGGCAAGTCACTTAACCCCAATTGCCTCATATAAAAACAAACAAACAAACCAAAAAAAAAAAAAAGGAAAAGAAAGAAAGGAAGTTGGCTGGGATTTGAAGCAAGTCAGGGAATCCAGGAGGCAAAGATGAGAATGGAGAGATTCGAGGCATGGAAAACAGCAAGAGAGAATGCCCAAAGACAGGGAATAGGAAGCGTCTTGTGTAGGGAACATTGAGGCCTGTATTGCTGGATAGAAGACTATATGGGGGTGGGTAAGGTATAAGAAGATTAGAAAAGTAGGAGGGGGCCAGGTTGTGAAGGCTTTGAATGCCAAATAGAGGACTGTATGTTTAATCCTGGAGATGATAGTGAGCTACTGGAATTTATGGAATAGAAAGATGACATGGGCAGACCTAGGCTTTGGGTAGATCAATTTTACGGTAGAGTGGAAGACGAACTGGAGGTGGCAGAGCCGTGAGGTAGGGAGACAGACCAAGAGGCTGTTGTGATCGTCTAGGCATGAAGTAGTGAGGCATGGACCAAGGCGGTGGCTCAGTTGCAGCAAAGAAGAGAATATGTCATGAAAGAAGTGACGGGAGATTGAGCAATTGAGGATGACACCTAAGTTGTGAGCCTCAGCAACTGGGAGAATGGTGGTACCCTCGACAGTAATAGGGAAGTTTGGAATGGGGGAAAGTGTGGGAGGAAAGATGAGTTCAGCATTGTACATAAAGAGTTTAAGTCGTCTAGGGGAAATCTAGTTTGAGACTTCTTGTAGGCAGTTGGAGATGAGAATCTGGAGGTTAGGAGAGAGGTTGGGGCGGGATAAGTAGATTTAAGAATCATCAGCATAGCAATAATAATTGAATCCATGGGTGCTGATGAGATCACCAAGGGAAAAAGCATAAGAGAAAGAAGAGAAGTAGGCCCAGGACAGAGCCTTGGAGGACAACAACAGTGGTTATTGGGCATGATCTGGATGAAGGGAGATCCAGCGAAGGAGAAGGAGGAGGGGTCAGACAGTATGAGAAGAATCAGAATAGACTAGTGTAATGAAATTCTAGAGAGAAGAGAATATCAAGGAGAAGAGGGTGATTGAAAGCTTCAGAGGCTGCAGAGAGGTGAAGAGGGATGAATACTGGGAAAAAAGAAAAAAGGTCATTCAGTTAAAGGCCATTGGTAACTTTGGAAAGAAGAGTTTTGTTTGATTAATAAGGCCGGTTGGAATCCAGATAGCCCAGAGTTCAGAAGAGAAATGAGAGGAGAGAAAGTGGACACCTCTATAATAGATAGCCTTCTCAAAGAGTTTAGCCACAAAAGGGAGGAGAGGTATGAAACAATAGCTAGTGGGAGTGAATGGATTAATTGAAGGGTTTTTTTGAGCATAGAAGAGACATGGATAGGTTGGTAGGCTGTAGGGAAGCAACCAGTAGACAAGGAGAGATTGAAAATAAATGAGAGAGTGGGGATGATAGAATAGGCAATGTGAGGGAGGAGATGGGATGGGATGGGATTGCTTACACAGGCAGAGTTGTTAGTCTTGGTAAGGAGTAAGGCCACATCTTCATTCGAGACAGAGGTGAAGGAGGAAATAGTGGCTGAAGATATCTGGATGATGTGAAATGAGGAAGGGAAAGAAGAGAGCTCTCAGTGAATTATCTGTATTTTTTTCATTAAAATATGAAGCAAGGTTCTGAGCTGAGGAGGTGGGAGGAAAGGGAACCATGGGAGGATTAAGAAGGGATGGAAAGGTTTGTCAGAGCTGCGTTGGTGAGTGAAATAGCAAGTTAATTAGGCATGAGTAAGAAGGATTGCCTTGCCTTAGTGAGGGCCCAATTGAGAATATGTCACATAAATTTGTAGTGGATCCAAGCCCCAAGATTTTGTGATTTTCTTGAGCTTTATTCAGCAGCACATGAATAGGAGCAAAAGCAGTCGATGGTGGAAAAAACCTTTGGCAGAGGTGTCCTAGGTGGTCTCAGGAAAACAAGAATGGATAAGATATGTACCCTTCCTTAGGGAGATTTTACTCTAAAGAGATCAGTCTATATGAATTTTTTATAAAAATGTTTTATAAAATATACATACATTTATTTTAAAAATTATGATAAGATGTACTAAGGGCATAACAGACAAGGGAGAAATTATTTCTGGCCATAAAGAATCAAGGAAGGATATGGAGATAGTAAAATTTGAGGTAACCTTGGAGGATAGGCATGATTTTGACAATTCAAAAAAGGAACAGAGGATTAAGTGCATTTCAGCCAGAGGGAAGTATGTAAAGGGTATGTTTAGGGAATATAGTCAGTCCAATTTGGCTGGAGCATAGAGAAATTATTAAAGTTTAGTGGGAGATAAGTCTGGAAAATTATGCGTGGTACAAGATTGGATAATACCTTGACTGTCAGATGGAGCAGTATATACATCATCCACCAGGCAATGGGAAGTCTAAAATTGTTAATAAGACATAGGTTTAAATATTTCCTCCTTATTCAAAAGCCTTAAAATGGCTTCCCCATTATGGATGAGATAAATATAGTCTCATTATTCTGGCATTTAAGACCCTCTATACTCTGGTTCCAATCTACTCTTCCAGGCTTATTTCCCATTACTTTTCTTCATGCACTCTGAATTCTAGCCCTGCAGTGCTACTGGCTGGTTCCCAAACTTCAGATGCCTGACATCTCTGGCCACTTCACATTTGCATAGGCTGCTCCCAATGCCTACAATACACTTCTCATCTCTGTCATTTAGAACCTTCTCTTCCTTTAGGTCTTAGCTCAGGTGCTGGTTCCACCATAGAATTTCCCCATATTTGCTCATCAACTCAGATTTTCCTAGAGCACACCTTGTAGATTTCTCCTTTGACCTCATTGTTTCCTGCTCCCAAATGGAATGTAAACTGTTTGAAGTCATGTATCCTGCTATTTAACTTTGTGTCCCTGGTGCCTTTCACATAATAGGCACTTAATAAATTTTTTTAATTGAAATCAAAGGTTTTTCTGCAGGGAAATGATATTAGAGTTTGTGGTTCAAGGAAGGTTAACAAAACAGAGGGTTGTGAAGTAGTTGATGGATGAGAGACAGGAAGACAGAGTAGTATTCTGAAGTGTTATTAATAAGGTACAAAGAATTTTCTTAAAGCAGGTAATCTAAAATATGGAGAAATACTCATTTGATCTCAACACCAATCAATTAAACAATCAATATTCCTTGATTGTTTATTACATGCTCAGCACTGTGAAAGTTACAGGATGACACAAAAAAGGAATAAATCCAGTGACTCCTGCTGTCAAGGAGATGGCCTAAAGAGCTCCCCAGTCAGCCAGTCAATAAACGTTTATTAAGTGCCTACCCAGTTTATCCAGAGACAGAAGAATAATGAATAAGAAAGTGAACGAGATGAGACAATATAATTTGGTGCTAAAATTGTGTGGTAGAAACCATAAGTACTCCTTGGGTCTGGAATATCCAGAAGTACCCAGAATCTAAATTGTTAAGCTAAATTGTACCTACCAATCAATGCCTTAGGTCTATTTGGATGGTGTTACTTACGTTAGAAAAATGTGTGTGTTCTGCCTGCAGACATGGGACCCGTTGTGCTGGGGAAGTGGCAGCTGCAGCAAACAACTCACACTGCACAGTAGGAATTGCATTCAACGCCAAGATTGGAGGTATGTGAAACAGACTTGGATCAGCAGAGAAAAGTACCTTTTTTCTTTTTCCTTTTCTCTGAGAGGCATTCAACAAGCTTTTTGAACAGAGGTAGAAATGTGTTTGCATAACAGTCTTCAGCTGTTGCCAAGGATAAATTGGTCCTGATATGCGTGTGGTTAAAAGCAATTATAGCCTGCAGGGGTGGTCACTCAGAAACTTGTCTCTGTAATTGGCATAGGGATTGTCAGCGCCCTCTGTGGAGGTAGTAACCTTGACCTTGCCGTGCTGAAACATTACATCTGGTGCTTGGGTGGGAAGTATCAATAATGGGCACACCAGGCAGTTGCCTCTCGGTGAAAAGATTTGGTTTGGAAAAATCTATCAAACAGGAGGAGTATTTAATGGGCCCTTCTGCTCCAACTTTGCAGAGATGTCCATTTATTTTCAACATTAGGGTCACAACAAACTAATACTGTAAGATATTTATGCATTATTCAAGATGCCTAATATTATGGGTTTGTACAAATATTTTAAACCCCGGGCAAGTCACTTAACCCTGTTTGCCTCAGTCTCCTCCTTTGTAAAATGAGCTGGAGAAGGAAATGGAGAACTACTCCAGTATCTTTGCCAAGAAAACCCCAGATGGAGTCACCAAGAGTCAGATATGACTGAAATGACTGAACAACAGCAAACAACAAAAATGCCACATTGGTCCATATATAGCCCATATCTCTTAAATGACATCTATTTGAGAAGGATAATTGGTATGCATGTCTCTCTGTATTGGTGTGTGTCTTTGTGTCAATATGTCAAGGACCAGTGATTTTGTAGTTAGGGTGCCTTTTTTTTAACAAGGCAGATCAGCTTACTTGACAATAATTTAAAGACTTAGAGAGTTTCCTGAGACTCAGAAAGGTTGAATGACTTGCCCATAGTCATTAACTATTAAGTATTAAAGGCAGGATTTGAACCCATGACTTTTTTATTCTAAATCTAGCTCTCTTTTAAGCCATGCTAAATTCTCTATACATGGATGTCTTGAAGGAAGGGGGAAAAAGAAGTATACAAAATTACAGTGATCATAAATGGTGACATTACAGAGAAACCTATTCTTTTTCTAGAAATCAAAAAATGTTTTTTATCATGCAATAATATAACAACAGCTCAGATTTACATAACATTCTAAGGTCTTGAGAAGTACTTTCTCAAACAATCCCGTGAGGCAGGCAGTAAAATATGATCTTCATTTTACAGATAAGTAAACCGAGACCCTGATATTAACTGATAATTCTGTGGTCAGAGAGATAGTTAGTATCTGAGTTGGAATTTGAATCTAGCTATGTTTACTCCAACCCACTTTCTGCTATGACACATTGACACCAAAACGTTCTGACCTCCTAATAAATATAAGGGAAATAAGAAGAGAGGAATCATTATGAATGGCAAAAAACTTACAAATCTGTTTTCTTAACTGAAGAGGAACCTAATAGAGCTATTCTTTCTTGCCCTTCCTTTCTCATTTACCCTTCTTCCTCCACATTATTACTTAATTCCTAGAAGAGCTCCTTCCTCAGTTTTAAAGCTATGAAATTCCCAAACTTAGAATCTCCATGGAATTACCACTGCCAATTTTTCCATCCCATGTCATCGAACTCCGTGGACCTCTATCTCTGTAGCTGTTAAAATTGCAACCCTAGGATCATCTATCTACAATAGTCAACAAACATTTACTAGGCATTGTACTAAGCTCTAGGGATACAAAAAAAAACAGCCCTACTCTCAGGGAAATCACATTATAAGTGGGGAGACACATGAGTGAGTAGTACATACGACATAAATACAGAGCAGATGGTAGGTGATGTCAGAGGAGAAGGCATTAGCAGCTGGTAGGATTGGGAAAGACCTCCTGTAGAGTCTGGGACTTGAGCTGAGTTTTAAAGGAAGCCAAAGAAAAAAAAAGGTGAAGGTAAAGAGGGGGAACATTTTAGGCTGGGGTACACAGCCAATTCAAAGACATGGAGATGAAAAAATGAGTGTCATGTATGAAGAACAGCACTTAGGTCATTGTGTTTGGGTTGTAGAATGTATGGAGGGGAATAATGTGCTATAAGACTAGAAAGGTAGGAATGAGCCAGGTTGTGGAGATAATTGCTAAAGAGAGGATCTTTAAAGAGAGGTAAGATGGAATCACAGTAGTTTATTGAATAATGGTGTAACGTGATCAGACCTGAGCTTCAGGAAATCACTTCGGCAGCTAAGTGGAGGATAAATTGGAGTGGGGAGAGACTTGAGAGAAGGAAAACCAATTTGGAGGCTATTCTGGGGTTATGGGAGCCTGAATCAGGCTGTCTTTAAGAGCAGAGAGAAGGTGACAGCTGAGAGCTGTTGTAAAGGAAGAAACTATGAGACATATGACATTGGACTGAACATGTGTGATGCGTGAAACTGAACAGTCAAAGATGACACAAAATAGCGAGCCTGGGTGAATGGGAGGATGGTAGTGCCCTCAACAGTAACAGGGAAGTTGGGAAGAGGAAAGGCTTTGAGGAAAAGATAATGAGTTCTGTTTTGGATATGTTGAGTTGGAAATGCCTCAGGAGAGAGATAAGGGCTGCGTGTATACATATGGGAATTAGGTGCATAGAGATGATAATCACGAAGTTCAAAACTGCAATCTCTGGGACAAAGTGCGATCTCTTTTGGAAAGGAGCCTCCTGGGATCTCTTCTCAGGATCCAGGCCTGGGGCTTTGAGGGAAAAGGGAAAGCTGAGGGAACGTTCAGTCAAATTCCCTTCTTCAGGCAATTGGTACAAATCAGAGAAATGTGCCTTGCTTAGTCGTGCAGCTTCCACAGAGCAGCCATGTCATCAGGGAAGCTGTTGCTTCTCTTGGAGATCATTAAAACTTTAAGGTGCAAAGGCCCACAGGCCGAGAGCTAGAGCAAACCTTAGAGGACATCTGGTACAACCTCCTCACTTTCCAAATAGGGAAACTGAGTGCCAAGGAGATTAAGTAACTCACCTCAAGTTTACAGAGGTGGTAAGTGAAAGAGCCTGGATTTGAACCTAGGTCCTCTGGCTCTAAATCTAATACTCTTTGTACCGCACCAGCCTAAGCTGTGTTAGGGCAGCCAGATGCTGCAGTGGATAGAATGCCAGGCCTAGAGTCAGGAGGACTTATCTTCATGAGATCAAATCTGGCCTCAGGTACTTATCAGCTGTGTGACCCTGGGTAAGTCACTTCATGTTGTTTGCCTCCGTTTTCTTATCTGTCAAATGAGCTGGAGAAGGAAATGGCAGTATCTTTGCCAAGAAAACCCCAAATGGGGTCACAAAGAGTCAGACATGACTGAAATGTCTGAACATGTTTCATTAATGCTAATAAAAGCCTGATTTAGACTTCACATAGGTTTTCTACAAGTCAGATTTGGAGGAAAATGTGCGCTAGATTTGGTCCAACATATATAAAGCTTATTAGAAGCACTCAACCAAATCAATGTAAATTAGCCTGAAACGAGTTTTGTTTTTTGGTGGTGAGCATTACTTTTTCTGAGAGTCTGTGAGCTGAAGAATGAGGAATTCCAATAAAATGGCATCAGCAATGACTCAATAAGATATGAAGAGAGACATGGGGGAAATAATATAAAAAATCAGATAACTAGTTCCCTATGGCCTAGCCTAAGGCACTGTAACACACAGGAACACCCTGGGGGTGGGAATGCGCGCGCGTGCGTGTGTGTGTGTGTGTGTGTGTGTGTGTGTGTGTGTGTGTGTGTGTGCGCGCGCGCGCGGGCGCGGGCGCGGGGGGGGGGGGTGTGTGATAAGAAAATTTATGCTGTATACGTTACACCAAGTCTCATGATTCTAATTCATTTTGGGGTGTCAGTAGGCAAATAAACAGAGGGAAGGGCCTCGACACAAAGGTATTCCATGAGGAGATGAACATTAGCCAAAGATCAGGTGCACACCCCACACACACTTCGACACCTTCCCTGAGCTCCCGCCAGCTGCCACACATACGCACTCGTGTATACTTCTCTAGTTCAGCTGAAGAGGCAGCTCTCCGTTCAGTGAAAGCAGTCTGTCCACAGCTGCTATTCCAGGAAAAGCGTGTACTTCATAAACATGGGCCTTCTTATGTTGTATTGATTCTTCCCTCCGCTGATCAGTCTCATTCAGGACTTTGTGGTCGGGCATTGCTACAGAGTAGCAATGTATTAGGATCGTTCATATGCAGGACGCATGTCTGGAAGTGGGGAAAGAGTCTCCCTTCCAGTATGAGCAAGTACAAGATTTTCTTTATAAGTCCTTTTCACAGCCTCTTTGATAGTCCCTATCCTCCTATGACAAGGTGACAGGATGGATAGAAAATGCAACGTCAGGAAGATCTGAGTTCAGATTTTACTTAAGAACCCTACTATCTGCCTGCTCAGTTTCAGTTTCCTCATCTGTAAAACGGGGAGGGTAAAAGCACCTATATCTCACAAGGTTGTTGTGGGGGCCAAAAGAGAGAACACGTAGAATGCTTTGCAAACTTTAAAGTATTATGTAAATGTTAGCTAGTATTGGGAATATGTGGGAATAGTATGCATTTATTTATTTATTATTAATAAATTACAATAATTAATCAATAACTTATTTAATTAATAAGAATGATGGCAGATAGAGAGTTCTTAAGAATAAGATCCTAGATTCAGAGCTACAAAGGACCTTAGAGGCCATAAAGTTCAAACACTGCATTATGTAGAGAAGGAAACTGAAGCACAGAGGTTAAGTGACTTGACCACAGTTACATAGCACACACACTTCTGAAGCAGGATCTTAACCTACGTCTTCCTGATGACAAGCTCAAAGCTCTATCCATTATTTCACATTTCTTTGCAATCATGGAATCTGAGAACAGGAAGGGACCTAAGGAGTTTAATCATAATTCATAAGTATCCAGGACACTTTGGGGACTGAACTCATATGGCAACATACTAACCTAAGGATGTACTAGCAACATATCATGTTGCCTT